AACCTATAGCATCACCTCTCTCTCTCTTTTCAGTATGTGTGTACATTTAAATAACTTTAATGTCTGTTGTTATTAAGAAGAAAGGAGAAAAGTCCAGGCAGCTCTTTAGGAACCAATTATTAATTCCTTTTATTTCTCTAGCATTTTCTAGTTTATGTCTAGATTTTAGCTGTTTCACTGTTCCTTAATATGTCCTCCAGAGGAAAGAAGATGAGCTCTTAGAATCTAGTGCAATGTACAGTGCTCTAGGGATGCTCATTAAGTGTCTGTTGGCAATGCCAATGACAATGACAAAATTCAAATCAGTTAATCGGTTCTGCACCTGTTAGTAATCTCAATGAAACTTGAATACAGGTTTCTGTAAATAGGGACTCTCCTCTTATGAAGAGGGATGCCTATCTATAGTGTTTCTATTTCTCAATTTCTCTCAGCTTGTAATGAAATAACAGAGCAAGGTTAGACCAGGGAAAAGCAGGGCAGACAAATGTGTCTGTGGTGACAGTGAGGTTCTGAGAAGCTCTATCTGCTCAGACTTTTCTTATATTTGCAGTTTATCCCTGGGTCAAGACATCCTTTCTAGTCTTCCTTGTTTGGATACACAGATAAAATTGTAGAAAGTAAGAGACTCTTCTCTAACTCAGAGAAGGGAACATTTCAGCAAATTCTTGAAGGGCCTATAGAAGTTAGTTAAATAGACTGGAGTGTTTGGGGAAAAGCAAATAGGAATGCTTTGTTTCTTCTTGTCTCGGCCAAGACAGGCCAAATTCAAAGTCCTGAAAGGGTGCCACAATATTTATGAGTACTTAAGAAGAGGAACCCAAAAGGAGCTGGGTGACAAACTTCACCCACTTTACAATTTTCTCTGCAGTGACTATGTAGCCAGAAAAGAACTCTTACTTTCCATATTTCAGAGTTTTTGCCTTTGTCAATGATTTTTAAATTGTTTTCTGCATTTAATTGCAGTAACATTTTTGGTGTTTATTGATGTTAATGACAAATACAAGCATAAGTAGAAATTTAGTCCTTGGAGTATGGTGTGTACACTTCCCTTGTAGAGAATTTTCCATTACATTATTTAATAAATCCAATGTGTTCTGGGAACGCAGGAAAATTTACCAATCTGTTTGCAAAGTAATACTGCTACTAATAATGACCCTTTTATTTATCTATTATGTATTTTCTATTTTTTAATTTAATCTTTATTGTATTTTTTCCATTACCATTTATTCTCCATACACCCCCCTCCTCCCAACAATCATCACACGGTTGTTCATGTCCATGAGTCCTTTTTCCTTTTTGCTCATCCCTCCATTCCCCAACCCAATTGCCCACTAGCTATCATCTGCTCTCCATCTATCAGTCTGTCTTTGTTTTGCTTGTTAGTTCAGGTTGTTCATTAGATTCCACATATGAAATAAGATGGCATTTGTCTTTCCCTGACTGGCTTATTTCACTTAACATAATGTTCTCCAGGTCCACCCATACTGTCACAATGTGTAAAATTTTATATATTTTTATGGCTAAGTAATATTTTATTGTGTAAATATCCAATGGTTGTTTTACCCACTCATCTATTGGTGGACATTTAGGCTGCTTCCACTTCTTGGCAATTGTAAGTAATGCTGCAAAGAACATGGGGGTGCTTATGTTCTTTCAAATTAGTGTTTTGGGTTCCTTTGGTTACATTCCCAGAAGTGGGATCACTAAGTCAAAAGGCAGATCCATTTTTAATTTTTTGAGGTATCTCCACACTGCTTTCCATAGTGGCTGCACCAGGCTGCATTCCCACCAACAGTGCAAAAGGGTTCCCCTTTCTCCACATCCTCACCAGCACTTGTTTTTTGTTGATTTATTGATGATAGCCATTCTGACAGGTGTGAGATGATAGCCTTTCATGGTTTTAATTTGTATCTCTCTGATCATTAGTGACTCTGATGATTTTCCTATGTCTATTGACCATCTGTATGTCCTCTCTGGAGAAGTGTCTACCCAGATCTTTTGCCCATTTTTTAATTGGGTTGTTTGTTGAATTTTTTGGGTTTTTTTGGTGGGTTTTTTTTTTGGTGTTGAGTTTTGTAAGCATTTCATAAATTTTTGGACATTAACCCCTTATAAGGCAAATATGTTCTCCCATTCTTTGTGTTGTCTTTTTGTTTTCTTGATAATTTCCTTTGCTGTGCAAAAAATTTTTAGTTTGATATAGTCCCATTTGTTTATTTTTTTCTTTTGTATCCCTTACCTAGGGAGATAGATTTGATAAAAAAAATTTTTATGAGCAATATCCAAGTTTTTGCTGCCTTTGTTTTCTTCCACAATTTTTATGTTTTCGGGTCTAACACTTAAGCCTTTGACCCCTTTTGAATTTATTCTTGTGTGTGGTGCAAGAAGGTGGTCTAGTTTCAATTTTCTGCACATACCTGTCCAATCTTCCTAACACTATTTATTGAATAAACTATCTTTAGCTCATTGTATGTGTTGGCATCCTCTGTTGAATATTAATTGACTATCTAGGTGTGGGTTTATTTTTGGACTCTTCATTCTGTCCCATTGATCTATTTTTATGCCACTACTAGGCTGTTTTGATTTTTATGGCTTTATAGTATAGTTTGATATTAGGAAGCATGATTCTTCCAACTTTGTTCTTCTTTCTAAGGATCACTATTGCTATGTGAGTTCTTTTGTGGTTCCAAATAAAGTTTTGAAATATTTGTTCTAGTTCTGTGAAATACATCATTAGAATCTTGGTGGGAGTTGCATTGAATGTATAGATTGCTTTGGGTAGTATGGACATTTTAATGATGTTAATTCTTCCTCTCCATGAACATGCTATGTGCTTCCATTTATTTGTATCTTCTTCAGTTTCTCCAGTGTCTTATAATTTACCATCTGCATGTCTTTTACATCCTTGGTTAAGTTTGTTCTTAGGTATTTTATTATTTTTGAAGGAATTGCAAATGTGATTGTTTTCTTAATTTCTTTTTCTTTTAGTTTGTTATTTACATATAAAAATACAACTGATTTCTGGATATTAATTTTGTATCACACTACTTTGCTGAATTCATTTATCATTCTTGGTGGAATCTTTGAAGTTCTCTACATACAGTATCATGTCATCTGCAAGTAGACAGTTTTACTTCTTCCTTTCCAATTAGATGTCCTTTATTTCTTCTGGTCTGATTGCTGTGGCTAGGACTTCCAGTATTATGTTGAATAAGAGAGGTGAAACTGGACATCCCTGTCTTGACCCAAACTTAAGAGGAATGTTTGCAGTTTTTGCTCATTGAGTATGATGCTGGCAGTGGGTTTGTCATGTATGGCCTTTATTATGTTTAGGTATGTTCCCTCTATTCCTACTTTGCTGAGAGTTTTTATTATAAATGTGTGCTTGGGTTTATCAAAATCTTTTTCTGCATCGATTAATATGATCATGTGTTTTTTTAATCCTTCATATTGTTTATGTAGTGAATCACAACAATTGATTTGTGAATGTTGCATCATCCTTGCATTCCCAGAATAAATCCCACTTGATCATGGTGTATGATCTTTTTGATGCATTGCTGTATTCAGTTTGCAAATATTTTGTTGAGAATTTTAGCATCTATGTTCATCAAGGATATTGGCCTATAATTTTTTTTCTTTGTAGTGCCTTTTTCTGGTTTTGGAATTAGGATAATGCTAGCCTCATAAAATAAGTTTGAGAGCCTTCTAATCTCTTGAATTTTATGAAGTATTTTGAGAAGTAGAGGTTTTAGTTCTTCTTGGAATATTTAGTAAAATTCACCTGTGAAGCCATCTGGTACAGGGATTTGTTTGTCAGGAGGTTGTTCATTACTCCTTCAATTTCATTAGCTGCAACCTGTCTATTCAGATTCTCTGGTTCTTCCTGATTTAGTTTTAGAAAATTGTATGTTTCTAGGAATTAATCCATTTTGTCCATGTAATACATTTTCTTGGCATATAATTTTTAATAACATTTTCTTATAATCCTTTGTATTTTTTTGGTGTCAGTTTTCATTTCTGATTTTATTTTTTTGAATTCTTTGTCTTTGTGTGTGTGTGTGTGAGAGAGAGAGAGAGAGAGAGAGATGAATGTGGATAAAGGTTTTTCAATCTTGTTTATCTTTTAAAAGATTCAGATCTTGGATTCATTGATATTTTGTATCATTTTTTTCTTTTTTTTAATTTCTTTTTTCTTTTTTTTTAAATTAATTTATTTACTTTTTAAATACATTTGTCTCTGCCTACCCTCCACCACTTTCCCTTGCCCCCTCCCTCCGTCCCTCCCTCAGCTCTTCCCCTTTGGTTTTGTCTGTGAGTCCTTGCTATATGTTCCTTACCATTTTTTAGACCCTATTTCATTTATTTCTTCCTTGATCTTTATTATTTCCTTCCGTCTCTTAACTTTGGGCTTTGTTTGTTGTTCCTCTTCAAGTTCCTTTATGTGTAAAGTTAGATTGTTTATTTGAGATTTTTCTTGTTTCTTGAGATAGACCTGTAATACTATGAATTGCCCTCTTCAGACTGCTTTCATTGTGTTCCATAAATTTTGGGTTGTGTTCTCATTTTCATTTGTTTCAAGGTATCTTTTGATTTTTTCTTTGACCTCCTTGTTGACCCATTCATTGTTTAGTAACATGTTATTTAGCTTCCATGTGTTTGTGTGTTTTTCAGTTTTTTTCTTGTGATCAATTTAGTTTTATACCATTATGGTCAGAGAAAATGGTTGATAGGATTTCAATCTTCTTAAATTTATTGAGACTTGTGTCTTTACATGTGGTCTATGCTAGAAAATGTTCCATGTGAATTTGAAAAATATGTATATTATACTACTTTGGATGAAATACTCTGAATATCAATTAAGTCCATTTGATCTACTGTATTGTTTAAGGCTACTGTCTTCCTGTTGATTTTCTGCCATTTAAGTCAATATGTTGTTAAAATCCCCAACTATGATTGTATTTCTGTTGACCTGTCCTTTTATTCTTTCTTTATTTTTTTTTCAGGGGAGATTTTGAATGCAGTCCCCCACTACATTATGCAGTCAAGTTCCCCACATTTGGAGAAATTGCAGGGGTCAGCACAATTGGAATATAATGGATAAGACTTGCCTGGGGAAAACCACCTTTGTGATCATGGTATTTCCCCTGCCAGGTAAGTATGAAGATCTGTCCTTTTAGGTCCATCAAGATTTGTCGCACATATTTAGTAGTTCCTATGTTGGGTGTGTAAATGTTTACCAGGGTTATATCCTGTTGTTGTATTGTTCACTTTATCATTATGTAGTGCCCTTCTTTATCTCTTACTATAACCTTAATTTTAAAGTCTATTTTGTTTAATATAAGTTTGCTACCTCAGCTTTTTTTTCTTTTCCATTTGCATGAAATATGTTTTTCCAACACTTTACTTTTAGTCTGTGTGTATCTTTTGATATAAAATAAGTCTCTTGGAGGAAGAATATAAATGGGTCTTCTTTTCTTATCCATTCAGCTACCCTATGTCTTTTGGTCAGAGCAGTTAAGCCATTTACATTTAAGATGATTATTGATAGATATGTGTGTAATGCCATTTTATTGTTAGACTGTTTTCCTTTGCTTTTTTCTTTCTCTTTCTCTTTTTCTCCCCCTCCTCCTCCCCCTTCTTCTTCTTCTTCTTCTTCTTCTTCTTCTTCTTCTTCTTCTTCTTCTTTTATTTTTTCCTTCTTCTTCCTTCTTTTCCCTCTTCAAGCTAGCCCATTAACATTTGTTACAATACTGGTTGGGTGTTAACAAACTCCTTTAGCTTTTTCTTCTTGGGAAAGCTGCTTATTTCTCCTTACATTTTAAATGATAGCCTGCCTAGGTAAAATAGTGTTAATTGTAGGTCTTTGCTTTTCATCACCTTAAATATTTTACACCATTCTCTTCTGGCCTGAAATGTTTCTGTTGAGTAGTCATATGCCAGTCTAATTGGTGCTCTCTTGTAGGTAACTACCTGTTTTTCTCTTGTGGCTTTTAGGATTCTTTCCTTGTCTTTAAGCCTTGTCATTTTAATTATGACATGTCTCAGTGTAGGCCCCTTAGGTCCAACTTGTTTGGCACTCTCTGAGCTTCCTGGACTTGTGTGTCTTTTTCCTTCACCAGATTAAGGAAGTTTCTGGTCATTATTTCTTCAAATAGTCTCCTAATCCCTTGCTTTCTTTCTTTTCCTTATGGTATTCCCATGATGCAGATGTTGTTACACTTCATGTTGTCAAAAATGTTTTTTAAGCTCTCCTCAGTTTTGTAAATTCTTTTTTCTTCTTGCTGCTCTGCCTGAGTGTTTTTTTCTACTTTGTCTTCCAAAACACTGATGCGATCATCTATTTCATTTAACCTACTGTTTATTCCTTCCAGTGTATTAATTATCTCAGAGATTACATACTTCATTTCTGACTGGTCCTATTTTATGGTTTCTATGTCTTCTTTCATGCTTTTGAGTAAATTTATAATCATTACTCTAAACTCTCTATCTGATAATTGCTTGCTTCCATTTCATCTAGTTCTTCTTCTGGAGAATTCTCTTGTTCTTTCATTTGGGGTCTGTTTCTTTATTTTCCCATTTTTGCCCTTCTTTGTATTTTCTACCTTGGTTTTTAAACTAATCAGCTATTAAATTGATGATTTGTTAAGATAATCAAGCTATAATCATCAGTCAGGCTTAAGTACCGCAGGGTGGGGCAGAATGATTCTTGCAGGTGGGGTTATTGCTTCCCCTTAGGTTGATGCCACTTAGAGAAGAATGCTTTGCCTGAGAAAGACATCTTCTGCAGCATGGAGAATGATTCAGCACGGGGATCCTAGTAGCTTTTCCTTCAGTTCTCTCCCCTGAGCCATCCATCCCCGACTCTCCTCAAGCGTCTTTACTCCATTCTGCCTTCCCTCTGCCAGAGCCCAGGGTAAGTGGCTGCAAATAAAATTTTGTGCATTGGCCCTTTAAGAGGCTTTCTGAATCTCCAGCCATTTCTCCCTGGAAGACAGAAACCCTGACCCTTTTCACTCTGGATGTTATCTGTTATAGCAGCACTATCCTAAGGACTCCTTTCTGTCTCTGGTGCTGTAGTTTGGGGAGCCCAGCTTGGTGTTTCAACCCCACACTTCCCAGGTGGAAACCCCTATCTGCTGAAATATCCCTCCAGCCATGTGAGCCCAGCCAGCCCTCTTCTGCCTCCTCCATATTGCTACCAGTCTTGTTGTGGTAAAGTGATGTCTTCTGTCTGTCCTTGGTTATAAGGCTTCTCTCAAGCTGGTGTTCAGTTGGTTATTCTGGATGATTTCTCTACAATTTAGTTGTAATTCCAGATTGGTCCTGGGAGGAGGTTAGTGTAAGCTAACCTCTCTACTTCTGCTAAGCTTCTACTTACTCCTCCACCATCATGGATCTCCTGCCTCCTTTATTTAAAAGTTAAGTTTCATGAGATTGAACCCATTTTCCAAATCTGAAATCAATTTTACAAAAAAATATATGGGTATTCTCTGAGATTTTAAGAGAAAATTTAGTCAAGAGAATGCTGTTTATTTTATACCTCCCACAGATTATGTTAAAATATGTCCTATTTGTTTCAAATGTTCTTTCTATATAAGTCTATTCCTCATCATCCCATCTCCTTTTGCTATCTACTTCAGTTGGTTTTCATTGCTCATATTTCTCTTTTTTCCCACTTAGAATTTTGTGTCCTTTAAATTTAAAGAAGCTTTGTGACTTAAATTCTTCAAGAGCTCCAAAATGCTAACTGCATCCCAAATTCCTGCTTTTATTTCCTTTGCCTAAAAATAAAGAGAAAATAAACAAATGAACAAGTAATACACACAGTCAAAACATAAAAAGGAATTCCGCAGGTTCTGTGAAAGAAAATAGCTAGAGAGAAGAGGGAGAATCAGGGCTTATATGGGAACTTTAGCAGTCAATTAATAATACTCTTCTCTTCCCTGCCTGAGTCTGGAACCATCTGAGAAATGGGATACAAGATGATCATTAACATATCAGCTTAATTTCAGACCAAGTTCCATTGGAGAGCATGGTTTACATATGTCACAAATGGATTTGCTAATTCTATACCCTGGAAAGAGATTTCTCAATTTGGTCTCCAGGCAGAGGTAGAAAAATCATGGTGTTCTTGACATGGAAAGAGTGGCAAGAGGTGTGTGTACTTCTGTAAATTTTATATCAAATAATAATAATTATAATAATAGAGATTGCTTCTTTCTTGAGGATCAACTGTCTTCCCGAGAGAGTTAGAGGAGGAAGCTGAGAAATGTATTCCCATTTCCTTCTTTCAATTTGCCCATCACATAAAGAGGAATGAGAGAGGGGATGGGCAAGGGAGGGAGTGGTGGTCCTTCCATAGAGAAACCTTAAGACAGGGAATAGGAAGAGTCCGTGAGTAAACACATAAGGACTTCGTTCAGCCTATCTCCAAATTTAGTTAGGCCACTTTGATTTTCTTTGGGCCTTTGGGAAGGTTAATGGGCACTCTGCACTATTTTTGATTTGCTTATGCCTTTCAAAATTGTCCTTCGGATAGCACTGAGGACATGGCTCTCAGGAAAGAGTACATTTTGCTCCAAATTTGATCTTACTTAAACCAGAATGGGAGCCAGATGAGGGTTCTTCAAACAGAACCTTTTTTTGAGTCACACAATTAGAAGCAACAAAACCAATCAGCTCATCTGCTCCTCATGCCCAGGGAATATAGGCTACTCAGTCTCTTGAATTTACAGTGTTTATCAGAAAGATAACTACATCAGCTTCCTCAGAAATAGGTGCAAAGGGCTCATTGTGTGTTGGCATACACATATCCAGAAATATCTCCAGAACACGTGAGGAATATACTCGGGCTAAAGAAGTCTGTACTGAGATTTTTTTCTTATTAAGCCAATTTAATTCCTTAAGAAATTTCTTACCTAGCATTCAACTCATACCAAAAATGTTAATATTCATTTATAATCTGATAAAAAATATTCTCATAGGGATTATTTCCATGTAAAACTTTCAATGAAAATAAAATTTTTGCTAATCTAGTTTTTATTCAATAACTGTAACATCTACAGCTAAATTTTCTGTTTTATGGACACTATGTCTGTCAAGTTCATTTATTCCACACCAAATTTTGTAGACAAAATTTTATCAAAATGTTTTCCTTCTGTAAAGTTTTAGTCAATAATAAATTTATGTGGACTTTTTGTTTTATTATGTGTGATTATATTTATTAGTAATACTAATTATAAATTGATAGAAGAAAATAGTTTTCATTTATTTCTTAGCTGATTGTTGAGAAAATAATCAGCAATTCACCTCATGTTTCAGGATTACTGTATTACAGAGGATTGGACTACTGCATTGCTAACCCAATTCTGTATATATTCCCAACATTTTGAGAATTGCATTTTAAAATGCCCCTTTTACTAGTGTAGCAAAGAGCAAATCGCCAAGCCAGTTGTCAAGTTTTGCTTCATATTTACCAATATTTGAGAGGAGAAAAAGATACAAATATTGAAAGGAAAAAGAAAGAGGACTCTTTGTTCTCTCTTTCTTCTTAACTTTTCCCTTATTTTTTTTCTCTCTTTAAATTCTTTAGCTTTATCAAAATTTTTCTGACACCATTTTATTCTTTGGTCACTATTTTATTCTCATGGGTTCTTGTGCCAGTATTCTTTTGCCTGCTGTTTTCTTTACTCTCTCCTTTTGTTCTTTCTAAGTCTCACTCACTGTCCTTCAAGACTTTGCTCTGAAGCATTTACTCCTTCTCTTCTCTTGTCCTGCTACTCTTACCAGAGTGCTCAATGTCATGATGAAAAAGGCTTAGAGAAGAAACTCTTATCCCTGACACTCAGCATTCCACCTGGGTTAAGTCGCCATAACCAAAGGAGGTTGTGAATCTGTGTTTTTTGTAGGCTTAAAAAGCTGCACTGAAAATGGTCCACTCATCTGGGTTTGATTTTATGGTGCAGAAGGAAGAATATTATGATCTCAGAAGGACTTTGCCAGATCAAGAGACTCAGAATCAATCGTCAGTTTAGATTTACTGGACACTCTTTCTGTACTTGGACCTGTATTAACTGATTTCACCCTTCATGCCTTGAGATATAGTTCTTCCTTTTTTTTTTTTAATCAGCTATTTAAAATATTTAAAATATTGTGGTAT